CTATCAGCTTTTGCTGATTGTGCTCAGCTTGAAATTCAGAATACACATTATTGCTTTCCATGGTATTTTGTACGTCCTTAGGTCACCGGCCTCCATACACTATCAGAACAGATGGCCAGAAGCCTCCCTCCTGAACCCGCATATCCCGTTTACTCCAAGTAATCCCAGCTGAAAACTTGGCATCCAACCCACAGAGCAGCCCTTAACGCAGGACGTTACAGCAAGAACGGACACAGCCTATCAGTGGAGTAACACCAGTGCCGTTACCCAACCCAAATGTCCGCTTTTTTGTGTAAAAAATGAATACATTTACTTCTATAAGGCAAGTAGGATTCGGTCCTGCTGACCAAGAACATAATAAAAGATATTTTAAATTTACATAAAGCTCGGTGCAGTCATGAATCATCTGGAGTACTCACGTGGCTATTTGGCTAACGAAGGAAACTGGAATCTGTGAAGCATCACCACCAGCTGGAGGATTTGTCAGTGGAATCTCACTTCTCGGAAAGAAAAACTGCTTTACAAGTTACCTTTTCTCCTGCGATAAGTGCCCTTGCAGACAAGCTAATAAAATCTCAGTACATAAATCTACTTGCAACCACCTTAATTTCTATTTTTTAGTTCTCTTTAAATAAAGGAGGCAACCAATGTCTTAAAACTGTTCCTAATTCAGAGAGATCTTAAATTAGCATTTAAAGTTAGACTATGAAACTCCAATGAAATACAAAGATGAAGCACCTGGCCCTGGCTCTGTCATCAGCACTGGCAGCTTCCTTGCTCCCCCATTACTGGCAGCGGAGAACACGCCGACACCAGCACATCAGGACACACGTTCGTGCTGTTAAGGTCAGCTACTCTCCTCCAACAAGACAATTTTAAACTCATATTGTAACAATACTTTCCTACTTTCTTCGTTACAAAGCATTTCGAGTTTACTCTGTGATGCTAACCATACTAAGAACTAATTTAATTCATTCAAAAGGCCCCATAAGCTGTACTAATGCACATGGGGTTAAAATTAACTGAAGTCTCCTGAAAAAGGGCTGAACACCATTCTGCTCCATATCTCTTTGCTTTATTGTAATGCTCTTTAAAAGATGACACTGCAGTTCAAGTCCGGTACCACTCTACAGAACGACGAGTAGCGTTCACTGAAATTGCCATTCCTGTGAACTTCACAAAAAACACGTCAGGAAAATTAAAGATACAGTACTCCATACTGACCAAGATTCTGCTGGCATGGAAATGAAAGAGGGCTCTACAACTAGAGGTCACTGAGCCGTTACAATCAGACTCTAATAGTGGACATCGAAATGTTTCTTGGTTTCTGTTTAAATCACTGATTGCTCAAGCCTTTCTTGACAGGGTTACTGAAATTTAATATTGCCAAAGTAAGGTGAGAACTGGAATACCTTGGTAGACTGCTACTCTCCAAGAGGACCACTGTATCTTTAAATGTATCCTGGATTAAACAACAAAGGTTTCACCTACACTTGTTAAATTATTGCACAGATCATTACACTGATAAATACATTATGAACCCATGGAATGTTATACAGTCTGGCCTGGAAAATAAAAGCAGCAGCATTATCCTTGAGGTCTCAGCTATGAGGGAGAGCTGCCCAAGCAGTTTTTGAAAGTATTATAAGTATTAACAGGTTTCAAGACACAAATGAAACATTTTAAAATAATCCCTAACTCCTAGGATTAGGTTCCTGGTTCAGGAACATTCTCCAAGACTTTCACTCTTTTGCAAGTGGCACTTAGTTTGAATGTCTTGAAGTTTTTCTTATTTCAGACTACCGGTAGGAATCCAGCTGCTCTGTATTTTCCAAAGTTGAAGCCATACAAAGGAATAAACCAGTTTGAAACACTAGGAGATTTAAACCAAACATTGCAATGGCCCATTGTTGCAGGAGGCATTTCACCTTCTGCGCTCTCTCCTGGCGATTTGCTTGTACGGCTTAAAATTGTTAACACACAGTGTGGAACTGAAAGGAAAAAGTGGAGCCCTCTTCATCCCCCGAAGAGACGAAGTACACAGTGACAGTAAAGCCTTGCCGGTCCACACGCTCGCTCAGATTCAACGGCCGTATCTTCACGTAGACAGGCGGCCTCAGCTCCAGCAGGCTGCACTCAATGCCCCTCTTTACAGTGCTCACAATCAGGCCAAAAAAAGAGGATTTGGGGAGAGGAGGGGGGATAAAAAAAAAAAAAAAAAAGTCTAATTCATAACTCCACTCCACTCACTCCACACAGGCACCTTGACTGAATGCATTCCGCCAAACTACAGAAAATTCCCAGCCATCTACACTAAAAAAAGTAAAATCCAATAAAACAGAGGCTTTGCAAAAGAAAATGCCCTCATTTCATCCTCTCCTCTGGAAGACAAGGTAAAACTTTCAGATTCAGACAAGTCATAAAAAAATACCGATTTGCCTGGCAAACTGAGACCAGTTGGTACACTAGTTTTGTAGCTGCAGTTACACTTTCTGCCATTCTATTGTTCTTTTTAGTATCTTCCATTAACACCTTTCTGGGAGTTGTAGCATTTTGTTGCCTCTCTATAGCACTGCAAAAAGAGACAGCAACTGTTCTGTCGCTGTCTCCTCAGCTGGAAGAAAAATCATCACCCAAAGCTTCTGCCTGAGTAGGGCTCTGCCTGTTTAGTTTAATTTAGAACATAAAGTTGCAAGAGATACAAAAATAAAAACAGAAGAAAAACAAATGGCTCATGCCAATCGTAGCTGCAAGTGATATATAAATAAACCGGTTTTCTCCTAGGCAAACCACACAGCTGAGGAGAATGTACGCATACACATCACAATACCGTTGATTGAACCGACTGAAATAAAGCTTATCCTGCTACGAGCTATTTCAGGAGGTTTATGAAAGAGAAGCTGTAATAAATTTGTACACAGGAAGCTGAATCAGCTTCACATCACTCCAGACAGACACCAGCAGTCAGACAGCGCAACCCATCGGATGCATTTTGCCGTCACCGCTACTGCAAGACCTCACGAGGACTGACCGTCAGTCGAGGACTGGGCAGTGCCACTTCACATACATTACACAGCACCGCCGTCGGAGTACATGCATTACAGCTTCGTACTGGGCAGCAGACAAAGGACAAGTAGGTAACAGAGGCGTATGCATAAAAATACAAAGTTACATTTGACATGCAATTAAGCTATGACAAAGGCATATTTGGAACTGGAGAAAAAGCAGAACAAAATCCTCGTTATACGGTCAGGCTGTAAACATCTGCCAAGGGTACCACAAGCAGCACTGTAAACCGAGATCTCTCGTGCCTTCGGCACTTCCAAAGGGTCAGCGTGTCAGCAAGAACGCCTCGGGCACCTCGCGCGGCTCAGCCTCGAGCAGCGCTCGGGCCGTGAGCAGCACTGCGTCCTGCTGCATGAGCTTCAGAGACCGCGCTATCAGGAGAAGCGAGGGGAAAAAAAAGAAATCCCGGCTCTTGCAGGACAGGGCTAGAGAAGACTAGAAAAATATTTTGTTCACCATCGAAAGATCCTACTAATAGAAATACAGAATCAGACTATAAATAGAGCTACTTCTACTTAGACTTAAGCCTTTAAAATCTGCTACTTTTGAGGGGATTCATGATTTTCCTTCCTTTTTAACCTCTTGCTATAACTATAAGCTCAAAAACCTCTGTGAAGAGAAAAAGAAATGAAGCAGTATTTAAGGTAACTTTGACAACTTAGGCTGGTTGGTTGCTTGAACAAATTAACTAATTTTGAAAAGAAAAGGCTTTTTAGGTATGTATTAAGATTTACAGGGTCCACAGTAAAGAACTCCATGCTGGTAGTAAAGCAGACTATGCAACGACATCATGATTTGAAGTTTTCAAGTGAGCTGACTGTTTTGGGGCTGATCGTACATTTACAAACCAGAATGGGGTACATAGGACGCCTTTGTCGTTAAAGTCACAACTCTTCTGTAGAAGTTATGGTCTGTGTCATGCAAAGCAATTTGTTGGGTCAAAACTGAGACATAACTGAATCTTCTATTCCATTCCTTAATGCTGACAAGGAGTTTCTAAAGTTTCCAAAATAGTGTTTCTTTAACAAGATCCAGGAAGAAAATGTAGAGAAATACATGATAGAAACAGAGATATAGTTTGACATACTAAAAATTAATGTGGAAAACATCTGCTTAACTTACATTTTACTATTAAACCCAGACATCTGCTCATCTTGAAAGGGGCTTGCAGCTCGCCTCTCTCCTCAATGTTCTCATATTTTCCACCCATTTTTTCTTACTGGAATCTTTTTTATAAATTTGTTTCACTGCCATGTTGCCAAACAGATGTCCAAAAGGCCATAAGCAGCAGAAAGACTGCATTTTTATCAGAACAGATAAAATAGATGGGTAGAAGGAAGAAAGACAGAGAAAAAACAGATTATATAAAATACTCAAACTGGGGCAAGAGTGTAGGTAAGGAAGGAGAAGACCACAGCTTTGCATTTTATCTGCGTAGGAGAGCTGCACTGTGCAAACTCTTAATGCATTGAGCAAGAAGGGCAAGTAGAGCCATTCTGGATATCCCTTGATAGCTCAGGTCAAAACTGTGAGTTGACACAAATAACTATCTAGCTCTAGAGTCCTTATTAATTCAAAAGGGAGAAAAAAAGTTTTAAAAGACTAAAAAAAAACCTAATAAAGTTTAAAAACAAAGCTCCAATAAAAAGTATCTTAAAGACCATCTTGAATTGCCAGACTTAGTATGGTCAGAGCAATCCATAAGGCATTTGGACTAGATCTGTTCAACTGCAGTTTGCCTATTTAACGGCTATCTTTTCAAGACACACCCTGTCCTGCGTTTGCGTTAAATACCTCAGGTCATCTCAAATTATACGAGGACTGGATGAATACCTATTAACCTACACATGCAAGGCTGTGCCATGAAAGTGTGGTTGCACTGATTTTTTTCCTTTGAACATTCGTGTTAAGAAAGTCACTGTATCCAGCTTCAATAGTGCAAGGCGAATATAGTTATCACTATCCTTAAAAAAGGGAGAGCCACCTTTATGTAATAAAAGATTCAGATACTTTTTTTTTTTTTCCCTAAACTGAGACAGAAGAAAGGAGAATGAACGGGAAGCACGAAAGTAACAGATCAGTAAGGTCAACCAAGATACTCCAGCTGCGTGTAAAACTTTCTCCCCTCAATCAGCCAGCATAGCCTCCCTTTCCTAGCTGTGCAAAACAGGGTTAACACAGTTCTACCAGTTCTGGTTATCCCACCCATCATCAGCTGAAGATGCCTTTTTTGTTGCCTTAGGAGGTTTTTTGGTCTTGCTCTCCCCTCCTGTGTTTTCCCAGTTGGTCTCCCAATTTTCCCAACTGTCGCTGTTACTGTTCTTGTTGTTGGAGACTGTTCCTGAGCCCCACACGTCCCAGCTATCAGAGCTCTTCTTCTCTGTGGAATTGTCCACATAGGTCCAGCTCTCACTGCTTGGAGATTTATGAGCTTTTGGTGGATCTGAGTTGCCAAAGGTCTCCCAGAAGCTTTGATCTACAGCATTGTTCTGGTAGCCCTCCCCTCCACTGTTCTGGTAGCTGTCTCCCTCAGCTGGTCTTTTATGGGGGGAAAAAAAAAAAAAAAAAAGAAGGTAGAAATAAATTAGTTATGACACACATAATAATAAATGACCAAAACCAAAGAAAACCGTAACGCTGCTGCCCTTTGCTTAAACAAAAACTGAGGATAAAGGCAGAAGAACTAAATATATTGCCTTGAATGGCATAAGCTTGTATTCTAATTCACAGATCTTTGCTAACAGCCTTAAGCGCTAACAGGCCCAGGGCGAGGGGATACGCATTTGGAATAATTTTAAAACCAAGGTGCCGTGCACTATTTTGTTCTCAGTTTAACAACTGTCATAAACAAATATCTAGATTGAATTCCTCCCATATTACACACAGGAGGACTACTAGCAAAGACAGAATAATCTCTTCATACTTCAAAATTACCTGCTATTACTATACTGCAGAGAACATACAGGAGATAAAATTATGTGTTTAAAGAGACAGAGAAAATAATAACAAAAAAATACCTTTCAGAATCTGATTTGCCAGAAAAAAAAGTGGTGACATCTCGCCATCCCTTACTTCCAACTCCCTGAACCTAGAGAAAAAAAACCACACTCCATTCATTTGGACTGAACCAACACCTCTTCCAAGTCCAACAGCAAAAGCCGTAACACATTCCTCCACTTGTTCAGATAAAGAGAAGACATTTCATCAGAAAATTTCACTCACAACTTATTAATACTTTTGATGGGTAGTTACGTGGTTGATGCAAAGAACATACAGACAGCATCGTGCTACTGGAAGATGTGAAAACTAGGTCAAGTTAAGCTTTTTCACCCATCATTGTCAATAATAGCTTTTGAATTCTCTCCTAGACTTCCTTGACAAACATGCTGGAATTACTCCTTACATAAAATTAAATTTAATGGCAGCACTGATGTTTTGATGTTACGGTTCATGTAACTAGTATTTATATTTTTACCGTTCCACAAAACTACTTTCACTCCATTGCAGTAGTATTATTTCACTGGCCATGTAAAACAGGCCAAAAGTTGAGTTCTAGAATAAACGTGACTGCCAGGAGAATCCTTTGGGGGTCATTATAATGGACTGGCGTTGGATTAGAAACACAAATTCTGAAGTGGCACCCATGGAAGTTACTATTCTAAGTTACAGATACGGAGGATGAATCCCAGAATTCAGACTTAAAGTTGCCAGGCTCCAAACAGAACAGGTAACATCGCTTATTTTATTCAAATATTCCCAACACTTAAGGCACTAAGCTGGTACAGGATAGAGCTTCCAGTGCTGACTTTCACGGCGCTAGAAAGACCAACCCTCCTAGGTAACACTGTACAAGTTATCAAAACAGGTATTAGATTGTGCAGGACGTCTGTGCTTAGCAGTTGCAGAGAACACTTACCACATTACCAAGTAACGATAGCAAAAGACAACAAAGAAAAAAGGTACAGATCATTAGTAAGTTTAACTGTACAAATGTAACGCAAGCTGTCTCCATATTCTCTAGCAGACATTTTCTTTTTGTGTTTGGGACACTGCCTGTCTTGTAACTCTACATCATGAAACTATTACGAGGACTACATCATACCCGTATAGCTTTTTAACACCCCAACAGAAGTACTGCATACTGAAAATGACACTTTCAAAATTTCTGTATTCAACACAAGCAGAGACTAAAGCTGCATTGTGGTTTTGCTTCACCACAAACTTTTCATAAGAATATGGAGACTGGCTTACGGTTTGGCCTCCTTAAAGGCAGGCAGGCCACTTCATACCTTGCTGGCCAACTGTGACACCCCCACGGTGACCTCCTCAAATATTTTCCCCTCTTTCACCTACGTGAATCAAAAGTATTGGTAATTAGTGATAAAGTATTATTGAAACCTTAAGACAAACTTACTTGTGCTTAGCAGCTAAAACCAAAAACTGTAAAAGAAATTCCAAACTGAAAGGGAATCAAAATATACTTAAGTCAAAACTAGCAAAGTTAAGAAAATGAGATATAAAGCCCATTGATCTATAATGGAGTGAACCTCAGTCCCTTGAGGTTTGTGGGATTTTTCTACTGACAGACATACAGTTTGAGGAAGGCACCATTACACTAATGCTGAGCATAAAAACACCAGTACAAAAAAAATCTGCAAACGTGACATTTTATAAGTATATTTTACTATATAAAAAGATTTGGTTGGGAGAGATCAAAACCCTAATCAGATCCATTGTATTCTCTATCTTCTATACATGCTTCCTTAAATATTAAAAGGGCTTCAAACTTTGGTCAACCAGAATACAAATGGTGCCTTTCACCAATTAATATATGGCAGCTGTTCCAAAGCAAGTGACTTCATATAGCCACCTATGTGCCAGGCAGCGATCACTGAATACTCACTTCAGAAAGTAACGCTTATTTAGAATTAACAGCACAACATCCTAAGGGAAACAGACTTTTTTTTTAATATAGAATGCAACATTCTTCGTTAAATTGTCCTACAAAATAGAAGTCAGATCAAGGAAATGCACCCTAAAACAATCCCTGAAAATAACACATCTAAGCACTCTGAAGTAAGTTGTGGATAATTCTAGGGAATAGGAAACCAATTAACAGTCTTCTCCTGTGATTTGAAATACTATGTAAAGAATGTTGAATTAATAAAGGTAATGCAAGAGAAATTATTTTGGAATGTGATTAAACCATTCTTTTCAAATTGAAAATTAATCCATATCCCAAAGTGGTGGCACTGCTTCTCTTACGAGAGCAAAATTAGTCTGCTTTACCAAAACCAGTGTATTTTGGGAAAAGGTACATAGGTAAGTAGAGCACCACATTCTCAGAAAAGACTTCATCAAAATTTTGGAGCTGATCCAAAATTCTGGAAGCACAGAACAAATGCATGCCAAACGGAAAAGACGTAAAAGTACATTTTTTTAAACATATGAAACAGGAAGGCAACGTTTGACACTAGGGAGAATCTCTGACTGAAATTTGTGGTATCAGTGATCACTAGTCACTTATGAGGACAGCTTTCCTTTTTTTCCTTTTTTTTTTATTTTTTTTTTTTTTTTACACGCCCACTAGTGACTATTTGTATTTCCTCAGGTCAGCATGTGTGTTTTCTTCCAACTGCTGTTAAGGAACCCCAGGTTCCTTTGGGGGCAACTTTTCCTTTTTTTCCTTTTTTTTTTTTTTTTTTTTTTTTTTTTACACGCCCACTAGTGACTATTTGTATTTCCTCAGGTCAGCATGTGTGTTTTCTTCCAACTGCTGTTGGAAGTGCCATTAGCCACATGCTTTTGGTCACAAACAATTGTAAAGGGAAGATGAAAATCTGCTTCAAAGTAGTTTCCCAGAAACAACACAGTTACTGGAACTGCTAATCAAAATGTTATTTTAGACCACACTTTGTGTATGAATGCATGCAAAACTTGGTTTTAGCTGACTAGCAGAATATTCTGAACAAATGCCAAGTAAAGGTTGCAAGAACACGTCACTGCTATCGATAAACTGTCGCCATTCATCTTAAACATATACACTGCCCCAAATTCTGCTGCCCCCAATGAGGCAGCAGATGAACTACAGTGGCTCAAAGGTGCTTAGTTGAATTAAAACAACGCTGGCAGGCAGATGGGTAAGACGCTATGAACTTAACACTCAAAGTTACTACTAATAGGGTTTTTTTTTAATATTTCGATATCCATTTAGGGTGCACTTTCATCTTGTCCCATCTTCCATTACTGAAAGCATGAAATCTATAAAATAGTATCTAATGGGGAAGAATGTAAGACTCTCGTGGACAGGAGAAAGATCTGCAGAGGGAAATTCCCCTCGTTAACCTTTCTTTGCTAACATACTAGCTTTGAATTATCTGATGTTTCCCCCTTGCTCCTGGGCTAGCATATGAAAAAACAGAAGGACGCACTGACAAACTGGGCAGTTGTGGCAGGAGGAAACAATCACTCCCAAAGTCAGCATAACCACGTTCTGCAAGTAATTTACTAGTTCCAAAGTTACCTTTTCCTGTGCAGGTTTGAGAACATTTTCATTTAATGTCTGACCTAACTCTGATGCCTATTTAAAAGCAAAACAAAAACAAAGTCAGTTATATTTTCTTTAAAAAAAAAAAAACAACCAAACCAAAAACCACAGCCAACATCTTCTGCAGGCTAATTTCTCAGCAGTATCTCCAAAAACACGGGAAGCCTTAAGCTTTGATTCATACAAGCAGAATGAGCTGAAAAGCACACACAGTACAGTGCTGCAGAAAACATTAAAAGAAAATAAATTACAAACAGATGCACACGGCAATAGGTTGTTGGAGATGCCCAGAGCCCAAGCAAAGTCTGACCTTGCACTGGAAGCAGAAGCAATGGTTCAACCAGCAACAGCCTAGAAGATGGGCCCCCTGCTAATGCCTGCAGCTGAATATTTGGAGGAACTGACCTCATCCACCCTTATTTTTCCTTACTAATGGAATTACTTGTAGAATTAGATCTTTTGGGCCAATTTTTCACCAATTCTTCTGTCCTGTAGTGCTGCAATTGTCATCTATTAATAACCGCCTAATTGTTTCCAAGCAATACACAAGAGGCAAAGCTGTGACAGAAGATTTTTGTAATCTTTTTTACTGCTCCAGGTTTGCAGGGAGAGAAAGCAATGAACTTCAGAAATCTATTGCAATCCAGAACAAGTGCAAGGATATTGTACTTCAGAGGCATCTTACAAAAATGTAAGCCCACAGTGTAAGTCACAAAATTACTTTCATAAGACGATATTGACACAGACAGCAGGGTTTGCAAATGTTTCGTTTGAAATCATTCCCTCCCCTACTACCAGAATAAGCCTTTGACTGATTTAAACTTTTCCTCAGAATTGCCGTATTAAACTGATTACCTTCTGAATTAGCCCAATTAATCCAAAAGGGCCAATGTGCTTGGAGACAAACATTAGTCCTGAACATTAGCAGAGTCTAATGAAGTTTCATTTCCTAGGGGTTTATATCTTATCGCTAACATCGGTTAGGGTGTGAGCCTTCATTCATGTTCTTCCTGGGGATGGAGCACCTTGAGCGTCACAGATTCCCAGGTGTCTAAAAAGCCTCTCCCTTAGCCACAGCACTACTAGGATCTCCCCACTACCCAACCACCACTATCTCCAATACTTCTACTTCTTACCAGTTCAAAAGTTATTTGAGAAGACAAAGGCAAAAGGTAACCCCAGTTCCACCTAGTAAGAAACGTGAACGTGAATCACAGAGGCTTGCTTCCATTGGAAGTGAGGCTAGAAAGTGTTTAAGAAAAACAAGAAAGGGGATTTTTCATCTTTGAAAAATCCTTCAGAGTCTATTAAACCTGGCAAACTGTTTATGTTATATAATAAAGAGTGTAATACACTAGAAGTTCAGGTATGCTAAGTGAAGTCATTGCTAGAATGAGGAAGAATTCTTATATTATCCCATTTACTCAACCACCTCATTCTGTAAATACAGAAAGGGAAGATTTGGATACAATTGCGTTTCCATCTGAATCGCTTTTTCACCTTTACTGTTGTTGAATTTAGGATAGCATCCTAACCACCATTAAAACACTACATAATGGGGCATTTATTAAAGAATCTGCCTTCAACCAACACCCCAGCGTAGTTCTTGGTATACTGCATTCCTGGATCAGACATGCAAACGGAAATCCTGAAGTCATCTGTCTTTATGAAGAGCATGGACAAAAGTACAGCATGTTTTCTGAGAGTGCAGAGCTTGGATATCTCTATCCAATTTAACGTATTTTAAATAGGTTTGAAGAAACATTACCATATGAAACACACAACATTATTCTAAACAGATTTGACTGAAGGCAAAAAAAAAGAAAAAAGACAGCTCAAGAGCAAATGCACATATTCAGCACGAACAGTGACAAGGAGTCCATGCACAAGAATACACGTGAGGGCATTACCGGCTCTGGCTGCTGCTTGTAGCCCCAAAACTTTACCCAGACAGCAAAAGAGAAAGAGCAAGGAAGGTAGAAGCAGCTTTTAGCAAGGCAAGTTAAGTAGCACGAACCTTTTCCAACTTTAACATCTACTGACAAGACAGACAGTGAATATGTTTGGTCACTGGACACCAAATATACTTTTAAACAGTATATTACATCAAAAAGATGCTAAATCTGTTCTACAGAGCAAAAGATCAGATGTTTCAGGAATAAAATTTAAGCTTCAGTAACAGCTTAGACTTTAGAGCACCATGTTGCTGCGGTCCTTGTCAGTAGATGTGATGAGCTTTTACACTTAATATTATATTTACACTTGCGGATAATACTAAAGAAAGAACAGTTTTCTAAAACAGAAACTGCCAGAAGCAGTAAAAGAGGAAGACTTGTAGAACACTTAGTTTTTCTTAGGTAAGCCAAGCAGCAAATACTTTAAAGCTTCTAAGTATCAAGTTTGGGTGCTTTAACAAGACATTTTTGTTGCAAAACACGCACAAGTTTGGCTTGCGATGTGGAGTATTAATGTCCCACTGCATACGTGTTTCAACACCGATACCTGCAGTTTTGCCTTCGTTTTGAGCACCAGCATCCTATGCATATCAGAAAGCATGCCAGGCTAACGCTACACATATAAGCAGAGTTATTGTTTAAAGTAAACCTCCCCCTATATCATATATGAATATATGCAAGCCTTCTCTCACTCAGAACTTTGGCACATTAAGGATCCTAGCTTTTACGTGTTTTTACATTTGTATTTAAAACTTTACCATGCAAACAGATCTTGCTTATGTCAGAGCTCTGTGTAACTGAGGTCTGACTGTCTCTGTTTTAACCCTAGTTTGAAAGAGGAAACGCTTCTGTAATTGCTACTTTTTTAAATACACACAAGCAAGTTAATTTAATAACAATATTAAGCAGTTCACATTTGTAATATCTTATTAGGCTTTAACAACGGAAAGATGGCTTGCATGATATTGTATCACCAAGAAAACTACTTCCAGATAGACCGCATTTAAGGTTCACAAAAATAAAATAAGGGTATTTCAAGTTTGCGAGCATGAATTAAAGCATTTCATTCTACTGCCTCTCCAATACACCCGACAGTTACACACAGCAGAGTATCACTGTTTATTTCTTGCTTAATTTGATCACTGCAGTTGATTGCAATTCCCATGGAAATAAAAGCTAAAACCTAAAAATTACTGTGCACTATGAAGGAAAAAACACACACTGGTCTGCTGATGATCAAGTCTAAATCAATTGCTGCAGGCAAATACATGATATTTAAAGCCAATTACAGTCAATAAGACAGAGCTAAATCTATAATCACCTTTTGACTTGCTTGAGATCCAAATCTGGTAGCCTGTGAAAAGAAGCAAATACATTCAAGTTTAAAAATCAAAGGCTTTATTCCTAGTAAACACAGCCATTTAGAAATGTTACATGATCCTCTCCCAGATGAATGGACCTTTGGCAGAATTTCGCAGCAAACAGTATCTGTATCACCACCTCTGGTATCCCAGATTGCTGTGGGAAAGCACTGGTCTTTCTCAACTTACAACAGGGGAGAGGAAGGGTCTTCAACACAGACTAGACCTTGGTGAGCCAATGCAGATGAGTAGCAATATTTTTGTTTCTCATAATGTCACCCAAAGTATTTTTCTTAAGAGATAACTGTTATGCTCATGAAAGTTTGGAAGAATACTAAGCAAAACTGAAAAAAGTTGTAAGGCACTATTTTCACAAAAAAACATTTAATCTTTTTCCACCATCAGCTATGTAAAATGTAATAAATTTTTATTTCCTCTGGTTTTAGTCTACAGTTAGTTGAATGATTGTCACCTAAGTGTGTGAATTTGCAGAACATGCAGAGCCTGAAGACCGTGCCTCAGTTTTTCCCAAAGCGTCCCCTCCAGGCACAACCTCTGCCCAACAGGCTTTCTACTTCAACTGACAAAAAATGCTGTAGTTAGAGAGAAGTCAAAGGAAGGGAAAAAAATATAAAACCATCAGCAATTTGTAACTTGGTATTAAATTCCTG